TGTCGTCGCACGGCAGGCAATAAATACATATTTTTTTATGCAGATTGAATGAATGGCGGGTGCTACCTGTAGGGCAGGACATACCTTTTTGACCGGGTGTCATCACTGATTTTCAGTGATCCATTCATATAATTTCCACGGCTATTTGCCCTTTGCGTCAAGCGAAATCTGTTTCCGCAGAAACTATAGGTTGATTATTCTCTTGTATTGATAAGTAATATTTACTTCAACTGGGTCGATGTTTCCGCTGGTGGACTGAAATCCCCGAGTTCAGTAGCATGTTCCTGTGCTGAGTCAACTACAAAGGACATGTTTGGGCCAGGACTTAAAAACTGCCCCCTCACTGTGCTGCAAAACGAATATATTTCTGAACGTTTTTCTTTACTTATGCGCGGCAGAATCTCTGCACTTGTACACAGTAGACGTTATTTCAAATCAACATATCGTTTTTATTTGTAACAAACTCAGTAATCGTACTCTCGTGTTACTGGATTTTCTGGTTCATCGATCACTTGGTTGTCTGTTTACAGGATGACGTCGCATGGCAGAGTACTGCTGTGCTGCACTAGGCAATAGATACTTAATCTTTTATGCAGATTGAATGAATGGCGGGTGCTACCGGTAGGGCAGGACATGATCACCCTTTTCGCGACCACCTGGTGTCATCACTAATTTTCAGTGGGCCATTCATATAATTTCCACGGCTGTTTGCACTTTACGCCAAGTGGAATCTGTTTCGGCTGAAAATCAAGTCTGGTTACACTCTTGCATTGACAATTATTATTTCCTGACAAAATTAAATCAGATCGGCACGCAAAAACATTGGAAGCGGGATGATGGCGCTGATCAAAGCCTGTTTTAGAGCTACAACGCTGCACGCAAGGGGTTTGATATCCTATCAGTCTTTGCTTGTTGTGTGATTTGACGTCGGTCAGCAGACAACAGGGCCAATCAACGCTTGTCTAAACTCTCATACGTACCCTTAAAAAATATCCAATGCAAGTCTAGATTTCTCTCTTACAGACCCGAGAACATATGTTTAAAATAACAACACCCATATCTCATTTCACCCACCACCCCTTCAACTCGATCAGTCTTTACTAATTCACTGTTCAACTCTACTCGCCTATACCCACCAACTTCTCAACTCTGTCAGCCGATACTCATTCTATCAGCTGATACTCGTCTCTAGGACATTAAGAGATGTAAGGGCTCCTTAAGTACATATGCTCATTTTCTTCGACCAAGGACCGCCTCCGTGGTCCGCCCGGAGAGCAGAAGGTCCGGGGTTCGATCCCTGGCCGCGTCATACCAAAATACGTTAAAAGATGGCACTTGTTGTTACCCTGTCTGGCGCTCGGCATTAAGGGGCTAAAACAAGGACTAGTCGGCTCGGAGTCAGTATACTGTGTCTGAGTGGGGTATTCATGTTAAACTGCGGCATAGTATCTCAGTGTGCTAGCACTATAAATCGGCATCAGTCCGGACGAGTACAAGCAGCCACACACACACACACGTGCATGCACGTCGCTATATAAGTACAATAATCTTGGACGCGACGTTGAACCCCATTTCACCTCACCTCTTCGACCAAGACACCTACCTCGTTCGATCTGTAGGAATGGCAGAAGGATCGATCGAGTTTGATTGTATAGTATAGTATCTGCAGTAGATATATGTTCAACTAGTATAGAACGCGCTGCGAATGTGAAGTGAGTGGCGTGCTTGTTTGGTTTAGTACAGTGTGCATCTGAAAGAAATCTCGTGAATATTTATGGATGAAAACCATTTCCAGCAAGACCTTTCATGTGTGACTTAGCGAGGTCACGGTAATTCAGTCAAACCGAATTCACCTTGTACGACACACGTGTGACATACGTATTTAGTATCTCACCACCTGTCTCTTCAGCTATACTAAACCCTTTAAATGTCAAGGTGATGACGTGTCATCTTCAACTGCTTTTAATGAATACAAGTCTCAGCCATTGTTTGGGGGTAACTCACAACCTTGGGGGTTTATGGTAGTAATAAGAAATACTTTCATTGACATCTTCCGTTTTATACAAAATGTTCATGTTAATCTTCCTACATTGTATTAACTTTTCGTTTGAGTGTGTAGCATAGATATATATTACCATTATCTATACTAGTTAATGTAACGATGGAAGATTAGTTCATGTTATGTTGGAAGATTAACATGATTGTAAACATTTGGTATAGAACTACTATTATTACAATTAATTCCATTAACTCCCAATTTTTTTAAGTCCCCCCCCCCCCCCCCCCCCCCCACACACACACTTCTATAAGCCTATTAACGCTAAAATATATATTTTGAAAGGTTTTATATTTCCCACAATGAATTTCAAAGGGAGATATTGGGTCTTTCCTTCATTTAGTCCCTGAACACATTTAGCTCGCTATTACACACAATCTTTAACACATTTAGACCCTAAACGCGTCACAATTATGGAACAAGGAGTGAGTGAGTTGGGTTTATCGCCGCTTTGACGAACATTGTAGTTATATGACGGCTTGTCAGCTTGATGTTAGAGGAAATACCTAAGTGATGCAGATCTCAGTACGTTTACCGCTTTGGTGGGAACGAACTGGGATTCGAACCCACAATCACAGGTTTCTGTGGGACCCCACGCCACTTGCAGCCTCAGATGGCATTTAAAGAGAAAATGTGTTGACACTGTCATGATAAATTCAATATATACTGAACCGCAAAAGAATATGGATAGATATATGGAAAACCTTATTTGTCCAAACACCGCAAACATACTTTGAGACATATTAAATACATGTAGATGAAACTTAGCAAAACTGATCATCAAGGTAGAAATTAAAGTGTCAAATATTCTTAAAGTGAAACACAACACTAGTCTCTGAGAAAATGGCATCACAAGTCTGTATCTCGTGTGTCCGCAACGTGCATTGATGACTGGTACATGGAATACATGAAATGGATAAGGTGGTTGATGAAGGCCATAGGCCTGACGCAGTTCAGCTGCAGTTGTCGGCCTTGGTCGGATGTCATTCAGCCGTCTTTGAATCTCGTCCAAAAGGTACTCAATGGGATTTTAATCGGGACTGATGGAAGGATACTGCATAGTTCTGATGCCATTCTGATTGAGGAAGTCTTTTGTGGCTCTTGCAGTGTGGGCACGGGCGTTATCATGCTGAAACTCGTGGTTGCGGCCACGTTCCAAATGAGGTTTGGCATGTTGTCTCAAGACTTGATCAATGTACCGAGTTGCTGTGACACCATTGTCTCTTCCCCCCCTAGCAAGACCAATTCCATCCCACACCATGATGCTCGAACCACCCCACATGGCTCTCTCAACAATACAAGCACCCGAATAACGTTCCCACGGCATCGCCAGACTCTCTCTCTCTCTCTGCCATCTGCTGTTGAGATACAGTAACGGCTCTCGTCTGAGAAGAGGACTCTTCTCCACTGCTGGTGGCGCCAATGCTGGTGCTGTATTGCCCACTGAAGACGGTCATGGCGATGACGTGGTGTCAGAATGGGTCCTCGGCGTGGCCTGTGACAGTGGAGGTGTCTGCTCGTCAATCGTCGACGCACGGTGTCCGCACTGATGTGTCGTTGGTGTGTCCCTATGGTCTGTCTAGCAGTTTCCGCAGCAGTAACAAAGCAATCTTGAAGATGCTGTCGCACAATCTGACGATCCTGACGTCGGGTGGTGACCCTTGGTCTCCCACTACGTGGTCGGTGATATGTAGTGTTGGTGGCCTGGTACCGTTGCTGGACCCTGTATATGGTCCTTACGTGCATTTGAAATGCATTGGCTACTTGACGGGCGGTTTGTTCAGCTTGCAATCTTGTCATGTGGTAGCAATTCAATAACGAATGAATGTTATCTGATCTGGGTGGATTTTTACAGGGCAAGAAATAGGGGAACGCATGTGCATTTCAATTTGCACGAAACTCACGTGCATCGGATTACCGTGGCCGTTGCCGTGATGCGTTTTGGCGATCGGCTTTATTGTCATCTGCTTTGTTTTTTTATCATCAAATTTCATTTTTCCGGACAAGGTAATGTTAAATTTTAGAAGCTTTGACAAAAATTACCCAGATATTTAAATGACAACTTTTCATGCAATGTTACTACGGGTGACTTTTCTTTTGCGGTTTTGGATATTTCATGCAGTTAAAGATGACAAGGCGTATACAAGGACAATGGATACAACTCGATTGTAAAATATCTGTAGTAGATCTCTCTGTAACTCATATAGAATGCAAAGCGAATCTAAAGTGTATGACCAGCCTAATTGGTTCAATAAAGTGTTACTCACCAAGAAAAAAAGTTATCCAATCAAAACATACAACGGGGGCAACCTTGTACGACGTGTGACGTACGACTGTAGTATCTCTCCACCTGCCTCTTCATCGCATGGTACTAAATTACTAATTGTCATGATGCAGTATTATCTACTTTCATGGTAACAGGTTAGCAACTTCACAGATGCAGGGGGCGGTCGGGTAGCCTGGTGGTTAAAGCGTTGGCTCGTCACGCTGAAGACCCGGGTTCGATTCCCGACATGGGTACAATGTTTGAAGCCCATTTATGGTGTCCCCTGCCGTGATATTGCTGGAATATTGCTAAATGCGGCGTAAAACCTTACTCACTCACTCAAAGATGCAGCACCCCCTCGAGTCATTGAGAACAGGCTTATCCTCCTGTCACAGGTAGGACCAATTCAATGTATAAACATGTAAAACCTACCTTGACATACATTTGCTATACATTTAATGAACTACAGTGGGATGGTTCGTATGTTCTGGCATTCAAGTTTATGTTAATTTACCTACCAACAACGAAAGTTATACAATGAACCTGGCAGGTGTGGGTTCCAATCCCGGACGGGACTCAACCCCCAAAAAGTACTAGAATCTGTACTTTACTAAGAAAGTGTTATCCCAAATATAGCATTTGTTACAGAAAGTTATACAAGCTGAAAACAAATAACAATGGTTACTGATTATGTATTGCCACTTAAATAGTTTCATTTCCAATATATATATATATGTCATTTTTCATATTCGTTGCAAGTTCTAGAAATTCAAAATTTATCACACGACACATTTGACAGCATATACTCAACGCTCCCTATTACCGTTCATGATTGATTAGCTCTGACTCTTTTATCCAAGAACTTGCTTTTTCTTAAGAAATGTAAATGGCCGTTGAAATCAGGGTTCGGTTTTAATTTTGAAACCTTTCCACCACACCTGGATATTTAACATGATAAACATTAACACCATGAAAATATTGATACCACAAAGAAGAAACAAAAACGCGGATGGCCCAACGTCTGTAAACATTATTCCTCCTACAAACGGAAAGGCTAGGTTCCCTGCGGACGCAGATATCCATGAAAGGGCTACAAGTTGTGGAGACATTCCGACATAGTCAGCGGCCCATGCTATCCCCGCACCCTCATAGGGACAGGCAAACACCCCTAACAGAACAGTGCTCAACCACAACATGGACTCGTAATACGGCGCCACGACTATGAGTAGAACTGACGCCACAACTAAACCTACAAAATTACCGATGATTATTTTAGCATGTCCCAACAGTGGTGTCAATGCTGTGCTGACGATTCGACCCAGCAGAGTGGAGATCCAGAACACAGATGTCATGTACACCATTGTAGACTTTGGGAGCTGTAAACTCCCCTCAACACCGAATGCTGTCAGGTAAGTAGTAAATGTAATTGTCAGTGCTGTTACAGGGAAGTAAGATAAAAACAAAACGGTATAAAATATCACAATTTGAATCTTCCCTTGAAGGCCACCACCTACATTGCGATCATGGATTTCCTCCTCTGTTATGCTCACAGAAGCTGAAGAGGCATCCCTCTTCCACCAAAAGTAGAAAAAAGCGAATGAACTTGGCAACAAAACAAACCCCATGGCGACATAAGCATTACGCACATTAGTGTCACTTTCTGTACAAGACTCTGTTCCATTGTCCGCAACTCTGAAATTAGCTCGGCATTCATCCAACGCACTTAGTAACCGGCAACACGCAGATCTAAGGTTTTGTATATTTCCCTCTGTTGTGTTATAACTGTTAATATCTTTATTCCCTTGCATGCCACAAGCCATTTGCCAATTGCAATAATCTCTATTCTCGTTAACGTCATTTATCACGCTTGATTTGCAGTCAACAGAAATATATGACATTGAGACCAGGGAGGTACACGGACAGGTGTGCTGTACATTTACACCTATATGGTCAACAACAAATTGTCCCTGTGTTTGGTCAGGATCATTTGCTTCAAAATGTCGAGAGACGTTGGCACACATCTTCTCAGCCAGAACCAGATCTTCCATTGAGCATGAGCCATTTACAGAAGTCACTCCCACGAGCTTCAAATCCAGCAGAGTAGGTGAAAATCTGTGGCTGGTAAAGTTTGCTACTTTTGATACATCATCTTGACATAAGAACGGTTCCACTATCAGAGGAGTGAGAATGGCGCCCAGGGAACTGCCGACCAGGATGAACTGAAAGGAGGTGCCCTTGTCCTTCCACAAGTCACTGCACACATCCATCAGAACTGTGGAACCAAAACAAGACTTGTTAAGATACTAAAAGGACAAGAAGAGATACTTAAAGTTTTGTTTGTTTGGTTGTTTGTTGTTTAACGCCACACTCAGCAATATTCGAGCTATATGACGGCGGTCTGTAAATAATCGAGTCTGGACCTGGACCACACAACCCATGCCAGTGATTGACAGCATGAACATCGATCCACGCAATTGGGATCGATGACATGTATCAACCAAGTCAGCGAGCCTGACCACCCGATCCCGTTAGTTGCCTTTTACGACAAGTATAGTCGCCTTTTACGAAAAGGATGTGTTGCTGAAGACCTATTCTACACCGGAATCTTCACGGGTGAGATACTTAAAGTACCTGGAATGTGAAATAGCTTTAATATTCATTTGCGCATTATAAAACGTATACATGAACCTGAGTAAAATATATGAATGCCTCGAAACTTAAACAACACCATCATATGACATCGTCTTTTGGTTACTATTTAAGAATGTTACGTACATGGTTTTAAGATGGAATTAGGTGAAAGGGAAAAATAGCGACAATACCATTTCAATAATCATAAGAAGCCGTTGTACGATTCTGATTATATCATGAGCATGTGTTTTGGAATCACTATAAATTAGTGTTGATACCAGTCGTTCGCAAAAAGGTGAGATTATGGGGCTCCACCGGTGGCACGCGTAACAAACACATGCAAGGCAAGTCATTTGTTCACCCATTCAGAACATCAAATTGGGTTAGGAACCTATTTTACTCACAACAGGAAGGTATTGCCGAGATGAAGCCCGACAGTGCGAACATGACATCCACGTAGATGAAATTGGGCACAACGGGAATAATGGTGATCACTACTGACGCTAGCAGTAGAGAAATGCCCAGCTGAAGGCGTTTCTGTCCGTATTTAGAGAGTGCCAAGGCCAGAAACATTCCCGATGTCTCCCCAATCCCGCTGCTCAGGGGTATGGTGGCGAGGGTGTCGATGTCCTGCTTCAGGATCAGCTGCAGATCCAGGAGGGTGGGGCCCAGAATGGAGTAGTTGATGCCCTGATGGAGATAAATACGGCATTCTAGGAATGGAAACAGACAGGAGGGGTATTCGATATTGCTTAGTTTGTTTGTTTGCTTTTTAACGCCGCTATATTCCAGCTATATGAAGCTGACTCTCATGTCCACTATTGATCACCAAGGTCTTATTTATCTGCTTTAATGTTTGTTGGTTTGTTGTTGAAAGCCGCACTCAGCAATATTCCAGCTATATGAAGGCGGTCTGTAAATAATTGAGTCTTGACCAGACAATCCAGTGATTGACATCATGAGCATCGATCCACGAAATTGGGATACGATGGCATACATCAGCCAAGTCAGCGAGCCTGACCACCCGATCCCGTATGTTGCCTTTTACGGCAAGCATGGGTTGCTGAAGATTTATTCTGAACCTCACCTTCACAGGTCGAATCGATATTGCAGATAAGGTACGTAACAGAATGGTTTCGATCAAGGACGACAGTGACATGAGGAAGTTCGGATATCTGAAGGTTTATAGGTACTGGATACCGCAAGGTACAAGATTCAAATGTGAGTGTTCTAATGATTCATGTTCCTTCGTTTAAATGTCCGAACGTCCGATCATAAGGTGAACATCACATATAAAGACAAAAGCGTGATGATATCAAAGATTTAAAGCTGTATGTACACATGTGAAGCATATATTTGATCTTTGTGAAATCTTTCCAGATATAATGTTCGGAACACATTAAATGTGAGAATTCTATGATATGAAGATATAAAGACTGCTGCCACCGACTGCCAGTTCCATTATCTCAACTAGATAGTTTTGCAAATAACAGGTTAAAATGAGGAGATATATCTACTGTGTTTTGAAATTTGATGTACACTGTTACTCTACATACCTCTTATTATACTTTGGAACCGAGCGATTTAGCGTGGGGTTACACATGTACAAATAAGCAATTTTATACAAATGCTGTACGATTTCTTTCTCAAACAAACTTTAATTATTAACATTCTTCTATTTATTTTAAATGTGTAAGTCTTATAAGGTAGTTTGCAATTACCCCCAGTAAATAATACAAATTCGAACTAGATGCCTTTCAACCCAGAATTTGGATGTGGAACTTGGCCTACATCGTAGTTACTGGTCATAGACTGTCAATGGCTGCAAAAAGGAAACCTATATTTAACCAATCAGAATCAAGCATTCATCAATGCATCATGGTAGAATTGACTATTATTCCAACTCTACCACAGATTGTTTGAAATAATGTTTACTCGTTTACTTTTCTTGCGAAGGCACATCGTCCCCCAGTGAAGAAAGTTATAAGCAGGTAAGATAAACAAGTATGAATAACTAAACAGGTTGGCCTACCTGATCTTATAGAAGTTATAACATAATATTGCGAAGGACCAGAACACATAGAAGTAATACTTACAATAATAAAGAAAGCCCATGTCATCCAAATTGTTTCACAGATCTTAGAAAAAAAGGTAAGTGACATTTTCTGCTGGTCTCGTTGAAATAAACCACTTGATGTGTCTTCAATAGAGAGTAAACCCCACTGATCCAATATGATGAAATAAATGACAAATTAGATGATTTAACTAATACGTCGTATGTGACGCAGTCGCGTGTCTTTGCATGAGAGCAGTCATTGCGTGATGTGTTCAAGAATACAACCGTGCGAATGCATATTTGAAAAGTGAAGGCGTTCCTCCACAACCTTGATGATCCTTACAGTGAGTGATTGAATGCTCCTCTAGAGCAGGTACATCAAAATACAAACAAATGATGAAACAAGCACACAGCTTTATACAAGTATACCTATTTCTAGGTATATATGAAAAACAATCACGAACAGCTGTCACTCACACAAGCATACTTGCCGTAAGAGGTGACTATGCTTGTCGTAAAAGGCGAGTAACGGGATCGGGTGGTCAGGCTCGCTGACTTGGTTGATACATGTCATCGATCCCAATTGCGTGGATCGATGCTCTTGATGTCATTCACTGGATTGTCTGGTCCAGACTCGATTATTTTACAGACCGCTTTCATATAGTTGGAATATTGCTGAGTGCGGCGTTAAACAACAAAGAAACAAACAAAACAAACAAACATATCCCCGTGTTCATGCAGCAAAAGAGTCTGACTCTGAACATGCCATGATGGAATATTAGTCAGTCTGTCCATGTCAGTTTGGATAATAATGTTTGGGTCCACACAACGTCGCTTGCCATTGTCTGCAGCTTGTACAACGTTTGTTTTCAACCAAAACGAATACAAATGCTGCATGACCTTGGAACTACAGGGTTCATGAGGTCAAACTTGGTAGGTGTGGTCGGCTGTTGTTGTGTTTGTTTGTTTGTTTGTTTAACGCCGCACTCAGCAATATCACAGCTATATGACGTCGGTCTGTAAATAATCGAGTCTGGACCAGACAATCCAGGGATTGACATCATGAGCATCGATCCACGCAATTGGGGTACGATAACATGCATCAACCAAGTCAGCCTTGACTACCCGATGTTACTTTAGTATTAAGTCTGGCTATGTAGAAAGACTATTAGAAAGTATTTTAATGTTAATGATTTTGACTTGACAATAATTGATCGTATATCCGGAGGCGGGTCATTGTTATTCAACTTATCAACATGTAATATTCATGTTTACCTCGTGGCTAATCGGGCGATCACGTCACATGATTCTTCGGATGAAAAAAATGAGATTCACACAAGTTCAGTTATATGAAAAGTGGAATGGTATATTCATCTTGTTTTTGCGATTTTAGTTTGTTTGTTGTGTAACGTTACACTCAGCAAATATTCCAGTTATGTGTCGGCGGTTTGTAAATAATCGGGTACAGGCCAGACAATTGATATTGTGAGTATCGATTCACGCCGTCTCGGTACCATCACACGCAATCAGCCAAGTCGCCGAGCCTGACCACCCAATCCAGATGTTCGGCTATTCCAACAGAAAAGGTTGCTGTGGACCCGAAATCCACGGGCAGTTTATGTATCTTGTTCTGAAATATGTCCTTTTAAATCCTCCTCTGAAAGGATTGTGCTTGTTTTCTTTCGTTAGGTGTCATACACAATTCGATAATAGTTTGAAGAAATTCTTATATCAGTTACATGTATTCAACGTGCAAATATTATCAAATTCCAAGTGAATCATTTGCCTTGAAGGTCGATTGTTTCTCTAATGAAGGTAATCAATGATACGTCTTCCTATATATATATATACTGAGTCAAATTAAAAACTTCACATTTTTAAAAGTAATCCCATATATGATATACAACGGACAAATGTATCAGAGAAGGTAATTTTTAATCATTAATGTCCAAAGAAGGATTTTAATTAACGGTGGTAACCATAATTTGTTCCAAGCACCTACGGTATTCGGTAATAACATTAACAGTTTAAATCATAAGTCCCAAGCACGAGAATCTGATAGCACATAAGTTCAGTAGCGTGTATGGCCACCATGTGCGTTGACAACTGCCACACAACGCCTCCGCATGGACCTTGTGATGCTTGTGAACACATGATTGGGAAGACGACGCCATTGTTGATGCAAAATGGTGCCAAGATCTTGGAAATTCTGTGGTTGGTTCTGGAGAGTGCGCAGACTTCTGCCAAGAGCATCCCAGACGTGTTCGATGGGATTGAGGTCGGGAGACATTGACGGCCAGTCCATGACGTTGACTCCCGCATTCTGAAGGAAATTCCTTGTCAAAATTGCTGTGTGGGGTCTGGCATTGTCGTGTTGGAAGATCAAACCGGGTCCATGTGCTGCCATAAAAGGCAGAAGTTCTGGTGCCAGTACCTGATCGCGGAAAGCAGCAGCGTTGAGGTTGCCACGGATGACAAGAAGCCTGGAACGTGCATTCCCACAGAAAGCACACCACATCATAACACTTCCGCCTCGAAATCTGTCAACTTCCTGTACACAACACTGGGCGTAACGTTCATGACGGCGCCTCCACACCCTCGCCCTACCATCAACAAATCGAAGATTAAATCGGGATTCATCACTGAAGACGACTTGATTCCAATTCCTCTAAGACCATCGTAAGTGTCGCTGTGCCCACAATTGACGTTGACGTCTGTGTAATTAAGTCAGAATCGAGGGCGATCAGCGGTGGTACCCGTTTACTGTAGACGCATCTGTAAATCATAAACAGTCCGTCGACTACAACCCATCGTCCTTGCGACTTCAGCTACGGACGTTCCCGTCTGCAACATGCCGATGGCACGCTCACGTTGCACATTTGAAAGGCGTGGCATGACAAATGGCCGTAAAGACTTTTGTTTTCTTGTCTTTTTCTTTTTTTGTTAATGACTGCTAACAAGTATAGCTGAAAACACGTGCGGTATTATGGCCACGTGACCAGTTGCACGTGAAAAACCACTTTTGCCAATATAGTGCTGTGCACATGATTTTGATCGATTCACCTGCACAAAAACGGGTGTTATCTGAAGACAATACAAGGCCATTACTGTTTAAATACACAATAAGGGCCCACAATGATAAATGGTCAAAATGTTAAAATTTTAGGATTGTGAAGTTTTTAATGTGGTTCAGTATATATAATATACGTCGCACTCAACTTTAGATATGAATTCATTATAGGAACTGTTCCAGAAACCCAATCGATTTGAATGACGTCTCACTGAATTGGGCAAGTAATATGACACACAAACTTAATAAAAGAAACGATTGTTATGATATAACATCAATTTCATGTATGTGTCATGATCATAAAATATGTACGCTTCCCATAGACAAAGTTGAAAGGGATATCATAATGATTTTGTAAATATCACGAAACATGTAAGTATTATTGTTTGTTTGTTGTCTAACGCTAAAAATAGCTATATGACGTCGGTCTGTAAATAATCTAGTCTGGACATTACAATCCGGTGAATGACATCATGAGCATCGATCCAGGCAATTGGGATCGATGCCATGCATCAACCAAGTCTTAAGTATTAAGTCCGGCTATGTAGAAAGGATATTAGAAAGTATTTTAATGTTAATGATTTTAACTTGACAATAATTGATCGTATAGCCGAAGGCGGGTCATTGTTATTCAACTTATCAACATATAATATTCATTATTACCTCATGGCTGATCGCGCGATCGTGTCACATGATGCTTCGGATGAAAAAGATTAGATTCACAAAAGTTCAGAAAGTACAAGTTGTGGCCTAAGGATTCGTCGGTATCCCAAACTCCCCGGCGGTATGTAATACTTTGATTGTGAACGAAATACAATGTCAAAACGTAAATATTCTCAGTGAGAAGTTATGTGCGTGCACCGTATATGCAGTTTGCCGAGTTATATTCTTCTTGGTGACAAGGCGACCAATACAACAGAAGCACTTCTCTGAGATAAATGTACAGGCTTATTTCCACGGTCAATGGTAAAAATATTTTTTCCACCAATCGTGAGTCTGTAAATATTAACTGTTAAATAAGGTTAATGTAACAGACCCCATGGCCAGGTACCTCTGCCAATGCATGTCTCCTGCGTTAGACATGTTGTTTGTGATGCTCCAAGTACAGCTGACTCACAGCCTTGATACCGAGACAGTTAATATTTTTTTTAAAATAAAGCTCTCGTTAGCTAACAAACTACCTACTTGTTACGGCAAATAAACATTGTTTGTTTAATTCGATTCTTTATCAGCTTAATGCACCTTTAAAACAGATAAGCTTGACTATTTTCTTTGTTTACGCATTTGGAAACATGTTTAATTGTCTTCAACCGCTCAGGTTGATATCATGTTATTGGTTTATCCTTGATCGTGTTGATACTTGTGTCAAAAGAATTCTTGTTTGAAGTTCCAATACATGAGGCGGCATGTATGGCCCTGTCGGCTAATGTCCTGCAATTCGACTTGCAGATTTGGGTCCCTTGGGCGTGACAGAAACCTATCATCATGGGTTCTAATCCCTGACTGATATTTCTTCGGTTCATGTGCTTCACCAAAGTTCTACACATCTAATGCCCCGTTCACATGCTAACATTTACTCACGTGAGTCATTTTACACATGTGTGGCTATACATACGTGTGTATATGTACATTTACTATGCGTTCACATGAAAATAAGCTAAGGTATGTAAATATAGTACGTACAATGTCAATGGCGTAAGGCACACATATTCACCAGTCTGTTCACGTCTTTCAAAATGAAAATGTTGTTTTCCAATCAAAGTCACTCTCATAAGAGAGTTACCTTACAGAAATCTTCACATGGAGCAACGTGTTTAATTTAATCTATTCACAAATTTTGGACTCCCTGAAACCCAAAGAAAACACCGTCCGCCCAGCTCTGGATGTCCCCTTTAAAGTGGCTATTGCTGTATACTGAATAGAATACAGAACCGCTGACAATTTGTTGGTGTTGGAAAATCAACAGATATATTAATTAGATCATCCTCTGACGTTGACATAAACGTTCACATAACATCATATACATACAGTGCAAATTAACATTTACTTTTGCGCCTGCTCCAGACATGATGTTAATGTGCTCCTGGTGTAAATATACACACATGAGTAAACGCGTTCACATGACAAGTATACTCACGTATGTATGTTTACACATATATGCAAATATACACACATATGTATAGAGGTGCATGTGAACGGGGTATAAGTAATGATGCATATTTGGGGTTTCGCCCAACTGACAGTTCAAAGCGGTGTTATTGCAGATTCCCCAACTCACCAACACATGAATTGATTTTGGCACATAGGCATATTTTTAGATAAGCAAGTATGATTTTACGCCTCTTTTAGCAATATCGGAACCATATCAAAGCAAGGGGACACCAATAATGGGATTCAAACACAGTTATTGCGGTGACATGAATCCCAACAAAATTCACCGTTTGGCCTCATCAGTGAGATTGTTGTCAGCACCTCACTTACTCATAATAACATTGGCAAAATAATGGTGAATACACTACACTGATTGTTTAATCACGGAACTTTAATAAATAACGCCACATACAAGTGCTGTATGTTAACTGGGGAAGAAATCTGCCCAAAACCGCGCATCAGTACTATCAACGTTTGACTTCACATGACCATTCATGTTTTCAACTGGATCATGGGGGGGGGGGGAGACACGGGTGGCCCAGTCGTCTGAGGCGCCGCGATTTCCTGTGCAGAGTTGCGTCCCTTGGGCACGATTCCCGGTTCGACCCGATTATGTTTCTAGGTTTGGCAGCATCATACCCGTGCTCGTGGGTTTCACCGAAGAGATCTCCATCACTTCTGGCCTTCCTCCCACATTAAGCTGACACGCCGCGATATAACTGGAATACTGTTAAAAGCGGCGTTAAACCCAACTCACTCACTCACTCGCTCACTCACTCATAACCCTCAATACAATCAAGGATTTACTTTGTTTATATTCACAAAAAGTATTTGAGACAAGTTGAGATAATGCCAAGTGCTAATTGCACGTGAAGGTTTGTAATCTGAAAAAAGAAACAAGTTCAAGTATGTCAGAATGTTTGATTTTTCAACTCTGTACACCACTATATACTATCAAACGCGACATCATTCCTTGATCAGTTGGACATTTGTCATTAAACGTGGTGACCATTGATATTTTACATCCCTGTGCTCGGGGCAATTTGTCAGAAGTGAAAGGAAATGTCATCTGAAGTTTACTGAGAAAATATGGTTATGCCTAGACTTACTCATTATTAATATATATGTGAAATTTGGGGATAAGACATTTAGGTAAAAAGTAGGCATCCCTATGGGTACTAACTGTACTCTCCTTCTTACTGGTCTGTTTCTGTATGCATATGGATAGAAATTTCTGCTCTGATTTGCAAAAATCAAAACAAGGGAACTTACTAATAACCAAGACGTTTGTCGTAAGCTTCAGGTATATCGATGACCGATATCGCTCAATAATTGTCAAATTGCCAAATCCCTCCCACTGACTTACCCACTTAAACTAGCAATAAAAGAGACCAGTGAAACCCCATCATCTGTTTCATATTTATATCTATACATATTAAACATTCAGAGCGGCAAAACACTCTCCACAAGACTGTGGGACAAAGGGGATGACTTCAACTTTCCAGGTGTCAATATTCTCTTCACTTCGAGCAATATCGAAGCACCTGCATATCAAAGATCTCACTCCAAGTCAAGTCCCTTGAAGTAGCAATTATATCCTTAGAAATAGGTCTAACATACAAACAATCAAATTTAGAACCCAGACCTATGCCAAATCATCTCTTCCGGGTACGATTTACCTGTGGAACACTCTACCCGATGAAGTAACTAATTATAATGCTCGCTCAATAAAATAATTTAAATCTTTAATTAATCGTTCTAATACAATTATTCATGATTTAGACTTAAAATATGGACATAGATCATGCCAAATTGCCCACTGTCGCATCAGGCTCGGCTGCAGTGACTTAAACGCTGATAAGTTTAGACGACATGTATCAGACATACCAGACTGCACTAGTGGATATCACTTCCCTCTTTCTATACCTGTCAAAACTACGATCACGTCGGAAACACTACACATACATGGCAGTAGTTCTGTCAGCAGTTCTACAAACATGGTTATTCTTCAATCAGTTCACGATTTCATTGTCAAAAGCAAAAGATTTGAGTAGCTTAATTTTATGCATGCATGTATTTTATTTCACTGTCACCACTTGCTTTAATGTATTGGCTTCATGTATTTAATTGTTCAGTACTATCCAATATATATATACATATAACCAGCTGTTGTTAAATTATTACCTGGAGAAGTAAGCCAGATTTCTTTTGAAATAGAATTATATTTAAACCATATCGAAGCAGCTACATGCCACATCTTTTTGAGAGCTATCGAGCATGCTTATTCTACGAGTGAGTGAGTTGGGTTTAACGCCGCTTTTAACGTTATTCCAGTTATATCACGGCGTGTCAGCTTAATGTGGGAGGAAAGCCCGAAGTGATGCAGGTCTCAGACGTTTACCAGTTCGGTGAAACCCACGAGCACGGGTATGGTGCTGACAAACACTGAAACATAATCGAGGCTTTTGTCGCTTTTATTTAGACTGCATTGGAATGTGTTAGATTGGTTAAGTTGCAATACATTGGATTGCTGTGAAACACCTGATTGCTGGAATATTGCTGAGTGCGGCGCTAAACAACATACAAACATCTGATTGTTTTCATATGTATTGGGATGCGTTGGGTTGCATTGGAATGTGTCTGATTGTGTTGATTAATTGATTTGGAAGCATGGTGCCTGGTTTAGAGTATATTGCGTCTGCTTCAATATATAACGTAAATTGGGTTCTGTTGTTTTGTTTGTTTGTTGCGGTCTGTAAATAATCGAGTGATTTCTGTGAGAGGCATTTAGAAGTTGGAGTACTAAGTACGGATAAGAATAATGGATGAACAACTACTTTATTACAATTAGGAGCGACGTTCTAACACCGTTATCAAGCAAGTCACTAACGGTGTTAGCGAGTGAGTGAGTATGGTTTTACGCCGCTTTTAGCAATATTCCAGCAAAATCACGGCGGGGAACACCAGAAATGGGCTTCACACGTTGTACCCATGTCGGGAATCGAACCCGGGTCTTCAGCGTGACGAGCGAACGCTTTAACCACCAGGCTACCCGACCGCCCCTAACGGTGTTAGAACCTACACCAGTTCTGACCCGGGTCTTCACGGGGGAGGCATGGGTCGTGTGCGTTTGTTGGTAAATAAGGTAATTTGGGGTTTACATATTAAAACTCGTTTTTCCACACTAGTTATATGAACACATCGCTTAGCATGTTTGGCAACATAACCTGTGTTAAATTTAGCAACCATGTAGTGCTCTTTCAAAAGAAAAGGCAATTACATTTATTTTAGCGAAAATATTATTATTTGTAAATCAATTTACATTTTAAATAAGACCCGTGAAGATCCAGGGTAGAATAGGTCTTTAGCAACCTGCTTGCCGTAAAAGGCGACTATGCTTATTACTTATGCTTAAAAACTTATTTTGTAAAACTATATAGCATCAATACACAAACAGGGTGAAATGGACGTGTCTCCAGGATGTAATATTTGTATGCAGTCTAGGTTAAGACATTCTACTGACTCAAGAGTGTTCTCTGTGGAACTGAGGGAACCTGTGTGAACTTGATCCAGATAACCAGTCGTAGAAAGATGACATGTGTTTATGGTGCAACAGGAATGATAGTAACGTTAACCGTTCAAGGTCATTCAAGGCGCTTGGAACAGTTAAATATTAAATTCGGTTTATTGACTTACTAAACTGATTGAGTTATTAGTATTTTATCCAACGTATAAAATGCGTGCTGGGGTGCAATGTTCGAAATATGGGATTTTACTACCACTTCATATACCACGGGAACGATTGTGGCGTTCAATACATTTACCACGAAACTACTTGGAAACGATAAATAAAAAGTACTATCGATCGAGCGCAATTTTCAGTAATAAAAAATATTCGTTTTTGACCGAAATTATTGAGGAAATAAAACTTTGGAGATTCGTTTGAGACTTCTTTTTTATTGTAAGAACAAAACATGAACAGTTACTCCATCTTTATACTTCTCAGCAAACACTGAAGGGGATGCTCATACACTGGTATATAATCGTTAAGCATATAGAGAGTGATATCGAGTAATGCAAAAAGGATGAAAGACACTACCTAACTCGTGGACTGAGTACGTCACAATAGAATTCCCGATATACACACGTTCACGATCTTGATTAAACATAGCTCACAAAACAATTAAATGGTTTAAATGGGTTCAAATCTAAATTCGCATTGAGCGGTGGTAGAATTAAAGTGTCGCTCCTTAAAACATGTACACATGTATTCACATGTATTCCCAAGCATACACTCGTGTATGACTCATTGGAATAACGGCTTAACCCCAATTGTTGACCGTAGTATATTTTCTTATATAGCCAATAAAAGAGTTACTTACAACTGAACAACCTTGTGTTTATACTGATCAATAACATGGTCCTGTGTAGGTTCTTGGTCCTATTCGTTAGTCTATGTTTTTCTCTTACACTGACGATATACATTATGCATGACATAGCTCACACCGATCGGTCGCGAGTCGTGACGCGGCATTTTAGGCAAGTGTCACTCGGTTCGCACGCTGAAGGTCAACAAAATTTAAAATGAGGGGAGGTGAAATGACGTTTTACGCGACGTTATTGCACATGTGAGAGAACCTGTGTGAACTTGATCCAGATAACCAGTTGTAGAAAGATGACATGTGTTTATGGTGCAACAGGAATGATAGTAACGTTAACCGTTCCAGGTCATTCAAGATGCTTGGAACAGTTACATATTAAATTTGGTTTATTGACTTACTAAACTGATTGAGTTATTAGTATTTTATCCAACATATAAAATGCGTGCTGGGGTGCAATGTTCGAAATATGGGATTTTACTACCACTTCATATACCAGGGGAACGATTGTGGCGTTCAATAAACTACCTGGAAACGATAAAAAAAAACGTAATATCGATCGAGCGCAATTTTCAGTAATGAAAAATAATCGTTTTTGACCGAAATTACCGAGTCGTGACGCGGCATTTTAGGCACGTGTCACTCGGTCTCTGGCTGAGAGAAGTGACATGAAGGTCACCAAAATTTATAATGAGGTGAGTTGAAATGACGTTTAACGCGACGTTATTGCACATGTGTAGCGACGTGCACGTGAGAGTGTGTTTGTGGGTGTGGCTGCTTATACTAGTCCGGACTAATGCCGATTTTATAGTGCTAGCCCACTGAGATACCAGGGCGCAGTACACAGTATACTGACTCTGAGCCGACCAGTCCTTGTTTTATCCCATTAATGCCGAGCGCCAGACAAGGTAACGACAAGAACCATCTCTTAACGCCTTTTGGTAAGACGTGGCCGGGGACCGAACCCGCGGCTTTCCGCTCTGCGGGCAGACGCTCTACCACTCGACCACGGAGTCGATAAAATTTGAAATATATACATGCATTTTCATAAGCAAGCGTCTGAAGTTCGGGACACGAACCTACAGTTATAGGTTTCTGGTACGGAGAAGAGACGCAAATCAGGTTTAGGGGGTGGCATAGTTGATTGCAGTGCTCCAGCAATGTAGTTCACCTGGTTATGAATTAAGGTTGGTGCCAGCATTGTCAGCATTTTGCTTCATTACTGACTGGGTTGGTGAGGTATTGGTAAAAGCCTTCGCTCGTCATTCTGATGACACGGGTTTCATTCCCCACATGGGTACAATGTGTGAAGCCCATTTCTGGTGTCCCAACCCGTGTTACTGCTGGAACTTTGTAAAACTATACTCACTCACTCAATACTGACTGCTGTTTCACAAAATAGAACGTGAGTATGTTAACTGACAAAAGCAATGTGCGACTCACCACGACATAACACGTTTTACTGCCTTTAAACCTGACAAACCTGAAATGGAACTAAATTATATATAAACTATCCCAGGGACAGAGGGGTATGCTGTAGAAAGCCCCTGTATGAAGCTTATTGTACGAATGGCCATTAAAAAAGGAGCACGCTGCTAGATAAGTGGGAGGTAATCGTCAAGTGATGAAGGTCTCAGAGACCATTACCACTTTGGAGGAACAACCGAGCACGGGTATGGTGCTGTGAAGCCTGAACTCATCCCAACTATCATAGATTCCTGTGGCCTTGACGACCCAGTCAGAGGTGAGGTGAGGTTAAATTTGGTTTAACGTCTCGTCCAAGATTATTGCACTTATATAGCGACGTGCATGCACGTTAGTGTGTGTGTGTGTGTGTGTGTGTGTGTGTGTGTGTGTGTGTGTGTGTGTGTGTGTGTGTGTGTGTGTGTGTGGCTGCTTGTACTAGTCCGGACTGATGCCGATTTATAGTGCTAGCCCACTGACATACCATGCCGCAGTTTAGCATGAATACCTCACTCAGACACAGTATACTGACTCTGAGCCGACCAGGCCTTGTTTTAGCCCCTTAATGTCGAGCGCCAGACAGGGTAACAACAAGTACCATCTTTTAACGTCTTTTAGTATGACGCGGCCGGGGATCAAACCCCGGACCTTCCGCTCTACGGGCGGACGCTCTACCAATAGACCACGGAGGCGGATGTTCGATGAGGAGACTTAACTCAGGTTATTAAATAATCACTCATGAAGAACACCTGACAAACATATCAATATGTGTATTAGAGGACAGGTAACAAAGAAACGGAAGGACAATCGAAAAACAAATTAAATTTTGATGATATAAATCAAATCAATGTCGAACACCTGGCGCCCAATACAATTCAATGTACAATGAAACGTTAAACGTCATTCAAGTCTACAGCTGAAAACGTTATTTCGAATCTGGGCATATGTGTATGTAAATGGAATACATTTACCGACAGGTGTGCCTTTGTCTCATAACGTACTGATTCACCATCGGGAACAGTGCGAAGTGGTCTGGGGTTCACCAATTCACCACTTACGGCCAGAGTCGCGTCCCTATCATGGATCCTCTAGTCGGGTGTTGTCATACCAGATTTGCCTCGAATATGAGTCATGGTTTGTCATCATCATGCATGTTTTAACTTGTCATGAAGACACGCGCCAGATGCTTTCTATCCACGTGTAGCTGTAATTAACAGGTACTGTTCGAGTGACGTTAATTCCAACTCACTCACGACCAGATATAAATTAACAGTTCTTCGACTACGCCTGGAGGTTGGACGGCATAGCTATCTCTTCGTTCCACAATTGATCACCCAGGCCTGACTTATCTGCTGTAAGTGTGACCAGTATAGCTGACTCTCATGTCCACTGTGTCACCCAGGTCTAATTAACTGCGTTAATGTTTGTTTGTTTGTTTGTTGTTTAACGCCGCACTCAGCACTATTCCAGCTATATGACGGCGGTCTGTAAATAATCGAGTCTGGACAAGACAATCCAGTGATTGACATCATGAGCATCGATATACGCAATTGGGATACGATAACATGCATCAACCAAGTCAGCGAGCCTGACCACCCGATCCCGTTAGTCGGCGCTTACGGCAAGCATAGTCGCCTTTTTCGGGAAGCATCGGTTGCTGAAGACCTATTCGACCCCGGATCTCCACGGGTCTAATCGGCTTTAAGTGTGACTGGTCACACCTGCTTTAAATGTGACAAGTATAGCTGACTCTCATGGTTATTATTGACCACCAATGTCTGATTACCATTAAACTGATTTGAGTGTGATCAGCTACAACCGCAATCATTCAGTCTCGCTTTCCTGAAGAGTTACATCCGACTGCAGTATTCGTGAAGGTGCCATCTTAATACGATGGCCTACATAATTTAGTAAAAAGAACATTAAACACAGAAACGCAATCATACTGAATACTAAATACATATGTCCCATTGGGGGCACATGATGGTATAACATTCCCCCAGCAAACGGTAAAACCATTGCACCGAAACCCACACCCAAAAATGTCAAAGATATTATTTTCGGTTCCAACCGTATAAAGTTCTCAGACCAGGCTAAGCAAGCCCCTTGAAAGGGTCCAGAGAACAGGCCAAGAGCAAGGGTAGCTACCCACAATGCCGCTTCATATCTTCCTGCCAGGCCAAGCAGTAAAACCCCGCTTACAAAAAGGCATGTACAGTTCACCAAGATAATGTAGAAGTTTCCGCAGCATCGTGTTAACAGAGTGTTACCAACACGACTTACAAGCAGCCCTCCCCAAAACAAGGACGTCATGTAGATCATGGAGGTTTTAGGTATATGCAGGGGTCCCTCGACCCCGTATACCGTGAGGTATGTGTTGTACAACATCGTGTTTCCAACTATGGGGAAATAGAAGAAGAACAAAAGAGTCAAGAACAGATAATGTAGTTTGTGTTTGACCACTTGATTCTTCATGTCGTCCGGATTCTCGTAGAGTGACATGTGGTCAAGGGTTACAGACTTTCTGCTCTGTAGCCAGTAATAGATGAAAGCTATCCCACTCGGCAGGGTAAGGGCACCGAGAACAATGTAAGCTTGTTGCACATTGGTGTCCGCAGCAGTGCATGTCGTGGCATTTCCATGCGTCTCATTCGTTGCACGTGTTGGGGAGAAGAACGGGTTGTCGGGGCGCTCGAGAACGCAGAGGAAAGGGCGGCTGATGAGCGGAGTCAGGATGGATCCAGTCGTCGCACCACAGAAGATAAACTGGAAAGGAATTCCTTTCTGCTTCCATAGGTCATTGCACACTTCCAACAAATCTGGAATAGAGGGAATCATTGTTCACAATTCGTAAGAGCGTGGTTTTACGACGTTTGTACTAATATCACTGCGGGGGACACCAGAAATGGGCGTCACATGTGGTACCCATGTGGTTAATCGAACACAGGCCTTTGACGTGACGAGCAAACGCTTGACCCCTCCCCCTGACAACAGATGTCACTGAATTCGTATCGTTTTTTACTTAATGACTAAAGTTAGTACTGTTATTGAACAAAATCGACTAATTTTATTTTGCGTTAATGAAAGTATAAACGTAAATACCAATGTGCACACTTTGCCTAAATCCACTACTCAGATCTACGTTTTAGTGAGCACATCGATATTTACCTCCCTAAAGTCAAAAGAATTTTGAAGTAAATTCTTGAATAAAAGATAACTTACAGCATGCGACGAAACCTCTGGCCAGTCCTTGTAAGAAGAACATGACACAGAAGTAGGTGTACGCTGGAACTGCCGGCGTGACGGAGTTGACAATGGAGCCGAATAGGATGCTCAGGGCCAACTTGAGCCTGTTGTTGATGCTGGTGAAGATGAATCCCGTGAGGAGACTGCCTATAATGGCGCCTATTCCTGTAGACAGTATGAGGAAGGAGAACGTCTCCACTGATTCCTTGACGAGCAGCTGCAGATCCAGGAGGGTTGGTCCCAGGATGGCGTCACCAACTCCCTATACAGACAATGGACTTTGTAAACCATGACACACCATGTACAACGTGATTATCATACCGCCATGTCAGAAAGATGAGATCTGATTGGTTCCCGAGAGCTTGATAAACTAATACCTTATACCCCGCTTCGAAGCAAAAAGCCTCACACTTTTTTCGAGTCAATGAAAGTCACGTGACATAGCACAAGTTATCCTCAGCTCAATCGAACAGCTGTTTTCTATTAATTTTGAATTTTGTTAATTCCTTTACAATGCCATATTAAGCATGACGGTAAGATAAATTCGTTGTAGCAGTAGCAGCCTGGGTACATGGAGTTTTAGGCGTCGCTAGTTAGGTTTTATACAACTCGCTCCGGCTTGTGGTATAAAACCTAACGCAGGAAGCACAAAACCCCATGTACAGCTCTTGATACTGATATAACTTATCGTGAAACGGATACGTATCGACTTTTATTTACATTGTACACACTACGTGATTGAATGTCGCAGTTAGCAGTATTAATTCTAGCTAGATCAAGATGGCCTTTCAATAATAGATCCTGGGCAAGCAGTGATTGATGACATGAGAAACAATCACGACCGGAGGCGAACGATGACAAGTGATTACTGAGTAAATTGTTTATAAACTTTCTCATGTTTGTTAGTTTATTTGTTCTTTAACGCCGCACTCAGCAATATTCAAGCTATATGATGGCGGTCTGTAAATAATCGAGTCTGGACAAGACAACCCAGTGATTGACATCATGAGTATCGATCCACGCAATTGGGATACGATGACATGCATCAACCAAGTCAGCGAGCCTGACCACCCGATCCCGTTAGTCGCCTCTTACGACAAACATAGTCGCCTTTTACGGCAAGCATGGTTGCTGAAGACCTGTGCTACCCCGGATCTTCATGGGTCACTTTCTCCTGTATCTCATAAATTTCAATACATAAACACGCACGCACGGTCTCACATTATTGCGCCTGTCACATCACTTTACATGATATTTCTTGAAGAAGTATTATAGGATCTTACATATAAATAGTTTCAAGAGACAGCTACATTTGCAACACCCGATATTTTTTTCTTTAAACTATGGGCCTAAATATATTTATTTAAAACAGCTTGCAACAGTGTATATTTAGTGACAGACAATTTCTACTTTCTACAACATTCCGAAGCACAATTGGTTTTTTTAATCATTTTCTGGGTCAACTTTTGCCCATAAAATCCCAGGGGCAGTTCTATAATTACAAATGTCCTTTAAAGCAGCAGTGAAAATATGTGTAAAGGGGAAATACCGCTCAGAATTGGATTTAGTACTTAGTGAGAAACATTAACAATAATATAATTTCATACTTTAAAGTTTACACTGTTTCTTTCATGCTGATTGACTGAAGGGGTATTCACGTGATCTGACATTTGGAGTTCACACACCTGTGAACGGACAGAAAAGTTCACACGATGTAAATTTCTTTTTGTGAAATTAATCGTGTAAACCTTTGCCGGAACTACTTTCTGGGGTTTCCCCGATTTCTCGATCGGTGTTTACAGTTAACTCGTTTTTCTATTTTCATTTTAATCCCTGCATTTATCTGCAATAAAATTAATTTAGTATATTTGCCTGGTCCTGTAACATTTCATCTGACTTATAAATAAATAAATGCTTTGGTTCTGGTGTTTGATGTCGTCTAGCTGCTACATGAAGCAAAATTGATTGCCCTTACGGTGATCTGGATATGGAACGGCTTTCTGTCCATACTAATAACGCAAGTGAAGAAAATGATTTCTGTAAATTACAGAGGTGAACGAAATTGACTTATTGAGCGAAATTGACATCCATGCCTTGTTTTCGGAAATGACAGGAATCTAGCACCAAGATAATTGGGAATGAAAACAAATCTTATTTATTCATTCTTTTAAGACATGTTCACACCTATTATTAACTGTGTATGCAAACAGTGTATGAACTGCTGGACTTCCTCATTGATAACATCTATGTGGACTTTGGGGAACGACATTTAGGCAAGAAGTAGGCATCCCCACGGGTACCAAGTATGCCCCCCTTCTTGCTCATCTGTTCCTTTATGGATATGAATCGGAATTTCTGCTCGAATTGGCAAAGTCAAAACAATGGAATTTGGCTAAGAGGTGTATCTTAAGCCTCTTTGGTGAAATCCACGAGCACGGGTATTATGCTGACAAACCTAGAAACAAATTCGGGTGAACCGGGATTCGAACCCACAATAATATGTTTCTGGCGTGCCTTAGGGGCGCAAACCAAACTCTGTGGTAACCTCTCTCATGAGATATACATGTACATGTTGTCAGTAGCAGAACATCCAACCTACCGGCATCATGAATCCCCAGAAGAGCCAGATGGTCTGAATGATCCTAGATATCTTGTCGTCAGTCATCATGGCCATTTACAGAAGGATGCTGTTTACACGATGTCCCGTCCTTAACAACCGGTGTGCCAACACGGCCTCATCTGCAATAGACTATTTTAATTATTATCCAGTCAGCTTGTTACAACTTTTTATTCCCCACCGTACATCTGGCTTCAGGACCTGTGTACATATTTGTACTCTACATCTAGCGTCATCAAATTCTCTGTGTGCTACTTGTTATGTATTACCTGTTCTTGCTCATGTTAATCTACTGCTTATCACACCATATCATGTATTTATTATATACTTCAGTGTGAAACTCATTGCAGTGAACCTAACATTTGATATTTCCCTACCTAACACACAGGGACGGGTCACCACCCCTTGTATTTGCGACTAAAAAAGTAGTTTAGTGTTTGCAAAATCATAAAAAATATATATAAAAAAGTAACCAAAAATGATTAGGGTCGCAAAAATTCTGTATCATACATATAGATACATGTTGATATACATATACAAAATCCACTTTAACAAAAAATATTCTTGACCGCTGTTGGAAGCGAAAGATTTTGTTTGTTTGTTGTTTAACCAAGTTAGCGAGCCTGACCGACCGATGCCGTTAGTCGCCTCTAACGATAAGCATAGTCGCCTTTTAAGGCAAGCATGGGTTGCTGAAGACCTATTCTACCCCGGATCTCCACGGGTCGGAAGCGGAAGAATACACGCTGATCAAGTAACAAAAATGGCGCTTTGCGAAACGTACGGTGAGTTAAGTGATAAATTTACAGTTTATGACGAAACATTATCAAGACAATAACAAACGCCATCAGGCGATATTAACTCCATAAATGACCATCTGCCCTTATGTTGCCTTGTCAGTGTGGAACTAACGTAAAAATTAAGTCAACAGTTTGTGAACGGGCCAGACACTTACGATAAAGGGAGACGATTTGAGTGAGAGAGTGAGTTGGTTGAACGCCGCTTTTAACAGTATTCCAGTTATATACTGTTAATGTTGGAGTGTCAGCTTAATGTTGGAGGAAAGCCCGAGGTGATGTAGGTCTCAGACGTTTACCACTACCCACGAGCACGCTTATGGTGCTGACAAGCCTAGAAACATAATCGAAGGGAACCACGAATCGAACCTACAATTATAGGTTTCTGGCGTGCCCAAGGGACGCAACTCTTAGGATATTTTCACCACTCGACACATGAAATATCCTCTATATATATATCTCACTACTTGATTATAGTCACTCGAGCTCCAGCTTGATAACGGTATAAGAATCTACATCGAAACGTTGCTAAATGCAATAAACCAGAAGTTGTTATCCATGAAGTTGTATGTTTTCTTACTTAGTCACCAACTTCTAGAATGCAAATCAAACAGTCAGTTCATACTGTGTGACGTTGTGCGCGTTATGTTTAAACGTCAGTGTGTGAGTGAGTAGGGTTTTACACCGCTTTTCGCAATATTCCACTAATATATTGTCTGAAAGGAGCTGAAACCCGGTATACGGTGTCGGATCATATTTACAACGATATAATGGTCACTCCGGAGCCGAGCATTGATTTACTGTCCTATAAACAATCCTTTCCGTTTTTACAGAATTATTAATACACACAAATTGTGTCCACATTAGCCCGATATATCTGCCGATGTCTCATTCATGTAGACATAGATATAAAAAAGTTGCAGGTTACAATATATTACAAGCGCTGTGTCCGGTGCAGCAGATACTTGATACACTGAAACCTCGTGAATCCGGACTGTACAGTTCCCAGCGTCCTATTAAAGAATCACTGTAAAGGAATAGAGAATCGGGGGTTCGGGAAAAAGGGGTTGAATACTTACCCCATGTCTTACTTATGTCATTAACCTTGTACTTGCATCAGACCTTTTACACGAGAATTCAGCTCGTGAAGATACTGGGTAGAATAGGTCTTCAGCAACCCATGCTAGCCGCAAAAGGCGACTATGCTTGTCGTAAGAGGCGACGGACAGGATCGGGTTGTCAGGCTCGCTGACTTGTTTTGTTTGTTGTTTAACGCTGCACTCAGCAATATTCCAGCTGTATGACGGCGGTCTGTAAATAATCGAGTCTGGACAAGAAAATCAAATGATTGAAATCATAAGTATCGATCCACGCAATTTGGATACGATGACATGAATCAACCAAGTGAACCTAGATTTAGATATAATTCACGCAGACGAGTAGTTAATTACACAGCTGTCTGAAATTCCAGACAAGGTAAATTCACGGTCTCTCGGCTTTCTGGTGACAGCTGCTGACATGGTTACTCCTGTGCCGTGGAATACAGGTTGACGGGAAATAGCCACACCAACCATTGGAGGAAACATCCGCAGTCAAATATTCCCATGTTATATCAGATATACACAGCCGTTTGCACAAAAGGATTCACTCTTGAAGTAACATAATAATGTTCCTGTTACATTAGAAGAAGAACAGGAACGAAAAGATTCACTATCGAAGTAACATAATAATGTTCCTGTTACATTAGAAGAAGAACAAGAACGAAAAGATTCACTATCGAAGTAACAGAATAATGTTACTGTTACATTAGAAGAAGAACAGGAACGAAAAGATTCACTATCGAAGTAACATAATAATGTTCCTGTTACATTAGAAGAAGAACAGGAACGAAAAGATTCACTATCGAAGTAACATAATAATGTTCCTGTTACATTAGAAGAAGAACAAGAACGAAATGATTCACTATCGAAGTAACAGAATAATGTTACTGTTACAATAGAAGGAGAAGAAGAAGGGGAGGAGAAGAAGAATAGGAGAACAACAACAAAAAGATTCACTAGCGAAGTGTCATAATAATGTTCCTGTTACATTAGAAGATGAGGAAGAAGCACAAGATCAAGAACCAAAAGATTCACTTTCGAAGTAACAGAATAATGTTTCTGTTACATTAGAACAAGAAGAAGAAGAACACAATTATGTTCCTGTTACATTAGAAGAAGAACAAGAACGAAAAGATTCACTATCGAAGTAACAGAATAATGTTACTGTTACAATAGAAGGAGAAGAAGAAGGGGAGGAGAAGAAGAAAAGGAGAACAACAACAAAAAGATTCACTAGCGAAGTGTCATAATAATGTTTATGTTACATTAGAAGATGAGGAAGAAGCACAAGATCAAGAACCAAAAGATTCACTTTCGAAGTAACAGAATAATGTTTCTGTTATATTAGAACAAGAAGAAGAAGAACACAATAATGTTCCTGTTACATTAGAAGAAGAACAAGAACGAAAAGATTCACTATCGAAGTAACAGAATAATGTTACTGTTACAATAGAAGGAGAAGAAGAAGGGGAGGAGAAGAAGAAAAGGAGAACAACAACAAAAAGATTCACTAGCGAAGTGTCATTATAATGTTTATGTTACATTAGAAGATGAGGAAGAAGCACAAGATCAAGAACCAAAAGATTCACTTTCGAAGTAACAGAATAATGTTTCTGTTACATTAGAACAAGAAGAAGAAGAACACAATAATGTTCATGTTACATTAGAAGAAGAACAAGAACAAAAAGATTTACTATCGAGGTAACAGAATAATGTTACTGTTACATTAGAAGAAGAAGAAGAAGAAGAACATAATAATGTTCCTTTTACATTAGAGGAACAAGAACAAAACGATTCACTATTGAAGTAACAGAACAATGTTCCTGTTACATTAGAAGAAGAAGAAGACCAAGAAGAACAAGAACAAAAGGATTCACTATCGAAGCAACATAATCATGTTCCTGTTACATTAGAAGATGAGGAAGAATAACAAGAACAAGAACAAAACGATTCACTATCGAAGTAACAGAATAATGTTCCTGTTACATTAGAAGAAGAAGAAGAAGAAGAAGATGCATGCATAAATATACAGATATACGCTCAATCGTGTATCACCCGCATCTCCACTGACTCATACCCTTAACCACCACACAAACACACACACATCTGCAGTCAAATATTTCCATGTTATATCAGATATACATGGCATTTGAACAAAATGATCTACTCTCGAAGTAACCTTATAATGTTCCTGTTACATTAGAAGAAGAACAAGAACAAAAAGATTTACTATCGAAGTAACATAACAATGTTTCTGTTACATAAGAAGAACAAGAACAAGACGAACAAGAAAAGGAAGAAGAAGAACAACAACAAAAATAATCACTATCGAAGTAACATAATGCTGTCCCTGTTACATTAGAAGAAGACGATGAACAAAAAGATTCACTATCGAAGCAACATAATAATGTTCCTGTCACATTAGAAGACGAGGAAGAAGAAGAAGAACAACAACAAAAATAATCACTATCGAAGTAACATAATGCTGTCCCTGTTACATTAGAAGAAGACGATGAACAAAAAGATTCACTATCGAAGAAACAGAATAATGTTCCTGTTACATTAGAAGAAGAACAAGAAGATGCATGCATACATAAATATACAGATATACGCTGATTTGTGTATTACCCGCATCTCATACCCTTAACCACCACACAAACACACACACATCTGCAGTCAAATATTTCCATGTTATATCAGATATATACGGCCGTTTAAACAAAATGATTCACTCTCGAAGTAACCTAATAATGTTCCTGTTACATTAGAAGAAGAAGAAGAAGAAGAAGAAGAAGAACAACAACAACAACAACAACAACAACAACAACAACAACAAAATTAATCACTATCGAAGTAACATAATTCTGTCCCTGTTACATTAGAAGAAGACGATGAACAAAAAGATTCACTATCGAAGCAACATAATAATGTTCCTGTCACATTAGAAGATAAGGAAGAAGAACATTAACAGAAGATCCACTATCGAAGTAACAGAATAATGTTCCTGTTACATTAGAAGATGAGGAAGAATAACAAGAACAAGAACAAAACGATTCACTATCGAAGTAACAGAATAATGTTCCTGTTACATTAGAAGAAGAAGAAGAAGAAGAAGATGCATGCATAAATATACAGATATACGCTCAATCGTGTATCACCCGCATCTCCACTGACTCATACCCTTAACCACCACACAAACACACACACATCTGCAGTCAAATATTTCCATGTTATATCAGATATACATGGCATTTGAACAAAATGATCTACTCTCGAAGTAACCTTATAATGTTCCTGTTACATTAGAAGAAGAACAAGAACAAAAAGATTTACTATCGAAGTAACATAACAATGTTTCTGTTACATAAGAAGAACAAGAACAAGACGAACAAGAAAAGGAAGAAGAAGAACAACAACAAAAATAATCACTATCGAAGTAACATAATGCTGTCCCTGTTACATTAGAAGAAGACGATGAACAAAAAGATTCACTATCGAAGCAACATAATAATGTTCCTGTCACATTAGAAGACGAGGAAGAAGAAGAAGAACAACAACAAAAATAATCACTATCGAAGTAACATAATGCTGTCCCTGTTACATTAGAAGAAGACGATGAACAAAAAGATTCACTATCGAAGAAACAGAATAATGTTCCTGTTACATTAGAAGAAGAACAAGAAGATGCATGCATACATAAATATACAGATATACGCTGATTTGTGTATTACCCGCATCTCATACCCTTAACCACCACACAAACACACACACATCTGCAGTCAAATATTTCCATGTTATATCAGATATATACGGCCGTTTAAACAAAATGATTCACTCTCGAAGTAACCTAATAATGTTCCTGTTACATTAGAAGAAGAAGAAGAAGAAGAAGAAGAAGAAGAAGAACAACAACAACAACAACAACAACAACAACAACAAAATTAATCACTATCGAAGTAACATAATTCTGTCCCTGTTACATTAGAAGAAGACGATGAACAAAAAGATTCACTATCGAAGCAACATAATAATGTTCCTGTCACATTAGAAGATAAGGAAGAAGAACATTAACAGAAGATCCACTATCGAAGTAACAGAATAATGTTCCTGTTACATAAGGGAAAAAAGAACAAGAACAAACAGATTCACTGTCGAAGTAACAGAATAATGTTCCTGTTACATTAGAAGAAGAACAACAACAAGAACAAGAACAAGAAGATGCATGCATGCATAAATATACAGATATACGCTCATTTGTGTTTCACCCGCATCTCATACCCTTAACCACCACACAAACACACACACATCTGCAGTCAAATGTGTCCATGTTATATCAGATATATACGGCCGTTTAAACAAAATGATTCACTCTCGAAGTAACCTAATAATGTTCCTCTTACATTAGAAGAAGAACAAGAACAAAAAGATTAACTATCAAAGTAACAGAATAATGTTCCTTTTACATTAGAAGAAGAACAGGAACGAAAAGATTCACTATCGAAGTAACATAATAATGTTCCTGTTACATTAGAAGAAGAACAGGAACGAAAAGATTCACTATCGAAGTAACAGAATAATGTTCCTGTAACATTAGAAGAAGAACAAGAACTAAAAGATTCACTATCGAAGAAACAGAATAATGTTCCTGTTACATTAGAAGAAGAACAAGAACGACAAGAAGAAGAAGATGAAGATGATGATGAAGAAGAAGAAGATTCATTCGTGTATCACCCGCATCTCCACTGACTCATACCCTTAACCACCACACAAACACACACACATAACACTGACATTTCCCCAACGACATTCCTCCCCCACACCATACACACATGCACACACACACATACACACACACACACACACACACACACCCATCAAACTTAACACCAACATCATATACCTACATCAGCAATGACACTCATATCCATTATCACATACACACACACAAACACACACACACACACACACACACACACACACACACACACACACACACACACACACACACACACACACACACACACACACACACACACACACACACACACACACACACACACACATATACACACACATATACACCACTCACCAACATAAACGCCCAAACACCACACACACACAAACATGCATACATAATGCGAGAAAGCTTAATTGCAATACAATAATTATAAATGTAATCATATAATACACTCCATAAGTACAGGATGTTCATATATGTATGTAGATATCTTATTAAAACATTAGATAAACAGAACTGTTCTAATCAGAAGATAAACTGTCGAAATAACTTATTACCTATTAGGTGAAATATGCAGAAAAGAACACAGTAAAAAATAAATTTGAAAGAAACTGAATGCAATAGGCAAACCTTACCTCCCTTTCATTGCACTGTGGGAATTATCAGCTGATTGATATACAACTGCCGCAGTAAAAACTCCCTAACTGAAAACCACTTGTCAGAACAGGTGTCCGGGTTAACGAGGTAAACTGTATAACGCCTTTAATATTTCATATTATAGTTGTTGCCAAGGCAACATACATACATCTGGCGATAAAATGTTTTGCCAATAGTTTAGAGGAACGTTTTCAATGTTGAACGGGCAAGGCAATACTGCTTGCTCAGAACCTTAGTCATGTGAATACACAAATGTTAGTTATTATTTCTTCTTTGCCATCAACAAGTGTGTGGATGTGCTCTTGAAAACGATAATTTGTTGGATGCAGATAAAGACAAATGACGACATGACCTCAATATATACTTACCATCATTCTAGCTGTGTTTGCAGCGTCCCGGGGACATATTCGTTCGCGGCATAAACATGGAGGACACAGCTATATAATAGTACGTCAATAACATGATAAGAACCAAGCGTGGATGATATAGCTGACCAGCTGTTGCCGTGACTCACCGTTTAAAACTATATATATGCTCATGGGCCTTGGATGTATCAGGAAATCGGATATTAGGGTAGGCTACTAATACCTATGTCATCAACATATATATATTATAGATGCATCCAATGGTAGTGAATAAATATTAATAGACTGTCAGTCCTATTTAGTCGGGCAACTGTTATATACATTCTGATACTAAACCATATGATATGTGCTGGTAATTATAAGGAGTAAGCTAAATCAACTAACGTTTTAACGCACCCCCTTGAAGACCCGGGTTATAACTGGTCTTCAGTAACCTATGTTTGTCGGGATCGGGTGGTCAGAATCGCTGACTTGGTTGATGCAAATAATCAAAATAATCTGATTATAATTCCTCGGCCAGTAACGAAAGTCGGCACTTGTAATCAGCAATATAACATCTATTCAACAGTACCTATTGCCAACAATGTCACATCTATTTAACAGCACCTGCAGTCAACAATGTCACATCTATTAAACAGTACCCGCAGTCAACAATATCACATCTATTAAACAGTAGCCGCAGACAACAATATCACATCTATTAAACAGTACCCGCAGTCAACAATATCACATCTATTAAACAGCACCCGCAGTCAACAATATCACATCTATTTAACAGTACCCGCAGTCAACAATGTCACATCTATTTAACAGCATCTGCAGTCAACAATGTCACATCTATTTAACAGTACCCGCAGTCAACAATATCACATCTTTTTAACAGTACCCGCAGTCAACAATATCGCATCTATTTAACAGTACCCGCAGTCAACAATGTCACATCTATTTAACAGTACCCGCAGTCAACAATATCACATCTATTAAACAGTACCCGCAGTCAACAATGTCACATCTATTTAACAGCACCCGCAGTCAACAATATCACACCTATTAAACAGCACCCGCAGTCAACAATATCACATCTATTTAACAGTACCCGCAGTCAACAATGTCACATCTATTTAACAGCACCCGCAGTCAACAATATCACATCTATTTAACAGTACCCGCAGTCAACAATGTCACATCTATTTAACAGTACCCGCAGTCAACAATATCACGTCTATTTAACAGTACCCGCAGTCAACAATATCACATCTATTAAACAGCACCCGCAGTCAACAATGTCACATCTATTTAACAGTACCCGCAGTCAAAAATGTCACATCTATTTAACAGTACCCGCGGTCAACAATATCACATCTATTTAACAGTACCTGCAGTCAACAATATCACAATTTTTAACAGTACCCATAGTCAATGATATCACATCTATTTGATAGTGACAGCAGTCAACAACGTCACATCTATTCAACAGTACCCGTTATCAACAATATAACATATGTTTAACAGTACTCATAGTTAACAGTATCACATGTATTTAATTAATAGTACATATAGTAAAAAACATCTTCAGTTTATTCAATAAAAGTTGAATATCATGTGTTTATATACTGGTAGTTTTGGTATTATATATTTCACATGTATATCAGGTTATCTCTTTGTCAAGTATGTATCAATAAAATCCCTTCCTTGACAGAATTAATGACAGATGCATTTACAATAAAGTAATAAATCCTCCAGGTTTTTGGTTAAACTGTGAGATTCAGTTGACAGGTTGATTTTGGCAGCGATGCTGCTGTACTCTTTATCGCTGGAATAACGATTGCGAATTGAACACATGTTACCAGATTAAACTGCCTATTGTCAACATCCTTTTCAAGGGCCTCGATTTGCAAGATGTCACGCTAAATCTGCCTCCGTTCAGACTGCTGTATGCCGGGGAGTCTATTCCCTGCTGCTGAATCACTGAGCCAGATAAAACTATGGCAACGTAAGGCCTGCTGCATTTTTAATGAGTAAGTATGGCTTTACGCCGCAATATCCCAGCAATATCCCGGGGTCAGCAGAAATGGTCTCCACGCATTGTACCCATTGTTAACACCATAATCTTTTGAAAAAGGTAAACTGTGATCATGTTCTAGCTCATCATATTGTTGAATCAAAACTCAGAAAAAGAAATTATATTGTCAACAACAGTGGAGCATTTCGACAGAGGAGGAAATTATATTGTCAACACCGGTGGAGCATTTCGACAGAGGAGGAAATTATATTGTCAACACCAGTGGAGCATTCAGACAGGAAAGGAAATTATATTGTCAGCACCAGTGCAGCATTCCGACAAGAAAGGAAATTATATTGTCAACACCAGTGCAGCATTCCGACAGAGATGGAAATTATATTGTCAACACAAGTGAAGCATTCCGATGGGAAACGATTTTTTGGTTTAGACCCAAAGGATAAAACTGGAAGGATCATGAGATGAACACTTTACGTTGTCCCCATAAGTGAGTCAAATAGTGAAAACAGTGATACAGATATTAGAGATCCCTACAGAATGAAAGCCAACAGATATCGCAGGGAGAGGTCAGGTTCGGAAGAAGAAAATAACGTTGCATTGACAGAATTAGCTAAACCAAGCAGCTGGGTCACAAGCTAGTGACAATGATGATATTGAAACGGGTTACCCAATGCAAACTGGTGAACAGTTAAATCGCCAGGGTGATATGTCATCTGAAATGGAATTTAACAATAATATATGTCAAACAGTGAAGAGACCGATATGGACAGCATGCAGTTGTCTCACATAAAGGCAAATCTTTTGTTGTTTTGTTTTTTGTTTGTTTAATGCCAAAATATTCCAGCTATATGACGGCGAAAAATGTCCGTAAAAACAAATCGAGTCTGGACCAGACAATCCAGTGATTGATATGAGCATCGACCTACGCAATTGGGATACAATGACATGCATCAACCAAGACAGTGAGCCTGACCACCCGATCCCGTTAGTCGCCTCTTACGACAATCATGGGGGCGGTCGGGTATAACTAGTGGTTAAAGCGTTCGCTCGTCACGCCGAAGACCCGGGTTCGATTCCCGACATGGGTAAAATATGTGAAGCCCATTTCTGGTGTCCTCCGCCGTGATATTGCTGGAATATTGCTATAAGCGGCGTAAAACCATACTCACCCACTCACTACGACAAGCACAATCGCCTTTTACTGCATGCGTGGGTTGCTGAAGACCAATTCTACCCTGGATCTTCGCGGGTCCTGTGATTGTGAAACAAAGTAACCCAAATATTAAGAGGTTACTTGAAGCAGTAGTTGGCTTATCACATTCTTCATTAGTGTACATTAAGATGTGGTTCATTATGATCATGAGTGTTTTGTTGTGTATATAACTAATGGTGTCTGATATGTTTCAGACACAATATGAGGCTTGTCCTACCCCTACTTGTACTTGGAAATATTCTTTTGCGGACATTAAGTGATATTTCCACTATCAGGTCCAGATGGTTCATCACTTTGTGATAGATTTAAAACCATATCAAGATCTCAAAACAAATGTACAAACGACAGCAGAAGTATTTGTAGCAATAAAGATATTAATAAGTGGGTATCATTAAGCAATAAGTAAGTGGGTATCATAATGCAACTGATGATGGAATGATGAGCAAATCTGACGATGAGACAACACAGGTTTAAATATAAGAAGTAAAATACTTAGAGACAATGTCGCAGAATACTGGAAGATGCAATCTGAGTGAGTGAGTGAGTGAGTGTGGTTTTACGCCGCTTTTAGCAATATTCCAGCAATATCACGGCGGGGAACACCAGAAATGGGCTTCACACATTGTACCCATGTCGGGAATCGAACCCGGGTCTTCAGCGTGACGAGCGAACGCTTTAACCACTGGGCTACCCGACCGCCCCAGATGCAATCTGAACACAAATGATGGATTTTACCGTTTGTTTGGAAGGCTCTGGGTATTCTTTTCGGTACTGTTACTGATGCTGATTTAGACTCCATTAAAGGAAATATTCGCAAATTAGCAAAGAATGCACGTGTAGTAACTTCAGGTCTTTCTATACTGAATACATCTCGAATAACAATCTCAGAGAATAGACATGCTATTAATGAGATAGTTGATGATTTGCATCATTGATGAAAAAATGACTAATGTCACTAGAGCTATAGAGTATCATCAATTCGGAACAAGCAATACATATATATCTTCAACTTGAAATGGTTATTGACGAAATGAAAGACATGTTGCAAACTATGACATCTGTCTCACCAAGCAATCTGAGAATATCATTAATTGAAATTAAAGTTCACTTACCAGCTATCAAGTTATCAGGTAATCCAGACACTGATTTGTGGTACTTGTATAGATAATTGACCTGCACCGCAATCTTAGATAATGATTAGATCTTAGTAATAACTCCAGTTCCAGCTTTAGATGCAGGTGGCAGATTTGAAATTTATAAAGCACATAATCTGTCAGTGCCAATGATAAATGGAATCAAGGACAAGGGACTAGGTTATATGGTAGCTCAATATAAACTAGAAATGGAAACTACACCACTTAATGCTGAGCACACAAAATACGGACTGACGAAACCGACTGAATTATCATAATGTACAAGGCAGATGACAGGGTACTGTGAAATACAAAGTTCTGTCTGTCCCTTCAGCCTTTGTAGCCTGTGTGTGATAGCCCTATTCATGAAAGATGAAACGAAAGTCAGTCAAGCGTATAGGACAGACGTCATTCCAAACTCTGTATTGCCGATGGCTGAATATTAATCCAGTGGATTGTGACGACTGATATGAAATTTGCATTCTCAGAGACGAAGGAGTGCGATCGTACCTAATGACAATCTTGCCACCATTATGGATAGTTTAACTAGATATATCATGTTCAGCTTCAAATGATCACTACTCTGCTACCTACTGCCATAAGGAAAATACATATCAAGTACATGACATTTTCTTGGGAATGAGTACAACGTTTCAAGTATGTTACTTTGGAAACCTTTCAGCCAAGTCATTCCTCGAATGAACGTTATCTCCCTGCCCAAGAAATGTATTGATGAAATTTCAATGGATAATTTGTTTAATACGCTGTTGGATTTAGAGGAAAAAGAAGAGTCAGAAACAAAATCTATTCTGCTGTTATTGGCGGGATTTGTTTCATTAATAGTCGTAAGTATACTGTCGTATGTAAAGAAAGTAAAACCCTGTCTAGCCAAGAGAGAGTGTGATTGGAGAAGTGCCTTGGTCGCACCTGGGTTCAAGTTGGTGTCGGTTGAAACTAAGGGCGAAGATCCCGCCTCCAGAGGAAGAGTACCCTCTGCACCCCTCATTATGAACACTGGTCCACAGACAGAGCAGACACTGGGAGAAGGGAGTTGGCCA